GAACTAGAATCGTAACTAAAATCGTAGATTCAAAAAACGTAATTGTAACTTTCCCTATAAGGATCAATTTGTTTCACCTTTAAGAAGAATCAAAACCGTCAATTTTTAAACAAAAACTGATGATTCTAAAATGGTGGCCATGTCTACGTACCCATGCGTCTCTTATTTTAAACCAGTGGCATTACATTCTTTTAGAAACTAATTTGTGGACCCCGTCTCACGTTACCTTGTTACTCGGTTGTTTTCTGTAGGAATAATTTTAGAAACCTTCATGAGATTTTGATCATTTCATTGGTCTCCCTTCATATTTTAAAAATTACACTAATCTCTCTTGAGGTTAATTATCTTGTAACACTTAGACCCAATCAATAATAAAAAAGTAATATTAAGAGAGAAAATAATATTGATTTTATCATTGCCGCTCATCTTTTAAATTATTTAAATAATTTAATACCAACTCATACATTAAAGAAAAACACTAAAAATTTACTGTTTATTATTAGGAATCAAATCATATATAGCATCAAAAAATAGTATACCATTCTATGTTTTTCACTTAATATAAAATCAATTACTCTTTTTAGTTATATGCATGATTAACAACAAATAATCAAAAAATTTGTAATCAAAATATTACAGAGAACAAACTTTAACATCATAAATATTTCGTCAGCATAAGGTTAGTTGTTAAGACTTTATGGTATTAAATATCACTCTTTGTAATACTTTGGCTACATGTTCTCTTGATTATTTCTTATTGATTATGTTTGACAATGAATTTGTAATTGAAAAGAGTAATTTGAATTTTACATTAAGTGGATAGAGTATTATTTGAAATAATTATTGTAATACTTTTTATGATGATGTGATATATGTGAAATAAAAAGATGAGTTAAAAAATATATTTACGTAAGTGAAATATTATTGAAAAAAATTGATATCCAAACATTTGATATCATATGTGATTTAAGCTCGCCAAATTTTGTGTTGATTTTACTGCAAACGGATTTTATGAGATCTAGGCATTGTGACCAGCGACGCTGCATGCCACAAATTTCGTCAATAATGTGGGGTATTAATGAGGTCAGTTTTGCACTTTGCTCCAAAAAGAAAAAGCAGAGGCAAATGATGGAAAATTGACTTGTTGAGAATGGGGTCTTGCACCATAGTTCTTTTTCCGCCTATATACGTGTCTTGGTTTTGTTCCGTGGAAAATTGATTGTTTCCTGCCCACACCAAGAAAGAGACTATACTATTAGCAGTATCATCACCACCCGCCAATAAATTTCTGCCAACACACAAACGCAGCAATCAAGGTGGTAATTGATAAGAATGCAACTCAAAACTAGGGATATAATCGAATCGAGTCGAGCTATACTCGAGCTCGACTCGATATGCAGGAAGAATTCTCGAGTTCGAGCGAGTAATATTATCGGAGCTCGATGCTTGCTCACAGAACTTGAGTTTGATTCGCATGAACTCGAGTTAATGCAAGCCTTATCGAGTTCGAGTTAGAAATTTTTATTTTCTTGACAATTTTTTAGTAAAAAGACATTATTGTCCTTTAAAAATTTTATATGACTTGAAATATTTCGTAAATTCAACAACTCTTTTAGGTATAAGAGTAATTTATAATACTCCCTTCGTCCCACTTTGATAGTTTTCTTTTCCTTTTTCATCTGTCTCAAATTGTAGTCCACTTTCCAATTGAATAATGTAGTTGTCTTTTAATTTTCCTAAAATACCCTTATTCAATGTAAGTTGTTGTTACTAGAAACCTACCCCATTTAATGAGAGTTGATTCTTTTTTTACCATCAATTCAAGTTTCCATAAAGTTGTACTCTAATTAATGTGAGGGTATTTTAGGAAAATAGCTACCTAAATTGATTGTTCCAACAAAATTAACTATTTTTTATTAAACTGTGTGAAAAAAGAATCATAACTATCAAAGTGGGACGAAGGGAGTAATAATATATTAAAGAATTAAAATTAAAAAACACGATAAGGTTCGATGAACCTTCGAGCATTGCTTCTCGATGCTTGACTAACAACTCCTCCAATTAAAAAGAAAAAAGAACAAAAAAGAAAACCATTATTTTGAAACAACAGAGTTGTTATAGAAGTAAACTAACCAACTTTCAATTAAATTTTGTCAAGCTGATTTATACACATAGAAATAGCAAAATAGACCTAATTGATGTCCGTCGCCTGAGGTGTTATGCTCAGACATTCACCTCGGCACACTTTGAATCCACCGGGAGTCCATTGAAAAATATCTTCCAAAAAAATTGTTTTTTTCAAATTATTGTAGCTTTAATTTGAAAAATACTTATAACTGTGTTTTATAAGCCTCTAATATCAAGCTTGAATTCAACACAATGAATTAGTACATGCAAAATTTTATTATTAGACCCTACCTACTTCATTTTCATTCTTCATATACTTCGTTCTGACTTCCTTGGTGTAATTCTTCGTATTCAATGCGTCTTCTCATTTTTTGATACGTTTACTCAAACATAATATTAGTCCACTTTTATGTGTGCTAATCATCAAAATTAAAGAATTAAAAATCACAGAGTTTTCGATAACTTATTAGCCTACTACACAACCTTCCGTGGATTGAATGCAGATTCCGCTAGGTTATTTAGTGATTTGAGAGAGAGTCAATTCCATATATACTCCCAAGTTAAATATAAATTTCACTATATTATTTGGTGATCAATAACTAAATTAATCCCTTACTCCCTTTTATTCAATCTGCCACTCAAATTTGCTATGTTATCTAGCAGTGAAAGGATAATCCCCCTACTCCCTCTGATTTCTTAAATATAAAATTTGAATAATATTTAATGATCGATAACTAATTAACCTCCTATAACCTTCTATAATGTAGATACTGACTACTATTTAGTAATAGAATAAGAATCTACTCTATACTCTTTCTTATTCATTAAATATAGATTTCACTACACGAGATAAAATCAAATTCCTTTCATTTGGGGAAGCCTCCTATAACTAATTAATCCTTTACTCCCCTTTACGTATTAAAAACAATGTTCAACTCATCCTTTACATATAAAATTAGCCATAATTTTTATTGATTAAACATACAATGTTTTTACTCATTTTGGTGATACAAACATAATTAACTCTCTTTTTCTTGGTTACTTCCTTTTTTTTGGTTTCTTATAGAATTCATGTGCCATCTAGTGATAAAAAACTAAGCAATTATCTAAGTCTTTAATTGATTACAAACTTAATTCATTGCACACCATAGTGACCAAGTATCAATCAATTTCACGATACCTTTTAATGAATAATGCATACAATCGGCTAGACTTTTAATGCGCCTTATATTAATCAATACTTATATACTATTATTTTTGCTCACACGTAAAGAACACTTGCATATTAAGGAAGAAAATTTAATGTCTTTAGTCGTCGAGTAGTCTAAAAGAAGAAAAATTTAAAAGTTATAACATCAAAAACAATTCACTCAAAAAAGTTTAAACAATTTTTGAATTATAAAATTTTGTAACTTAGGGGGTTTTTTTTCATTATTATTTTTAATTTTTTTTCCTTTTTATGTTGACCAATGTCATTGTCTCAAAAAATTTTAACTTTTTCTTGGTATTATGTTATAATTTTTAATTTTTTCCTTTTTACAGTGACTTAATGTCTTTTTATAGTGATGTTCCAATTTTATATCTAAAATCTATATTAAATTGTCAATCTGGGATTAATTTGCTTCGTTTTTAAAATGTGAGGAACTAGTTTGCAGCATTTTAAAAGTGAGAGATAAAAAGTATTTTTTGCCAAAAGGTAAGGGATTAATTATCAGTGCTAATATATAGTTAATTGTGTATGTTAAGGTGTCGTGGTTGTGTGGCATATTTTATGCCAATGTACTGCAAAGGGCTTTTGTGAGATCTAGGCATTGTCACTACAGACCATAGTTGTCAAAATCGCGATCCGGATCGTACGATCCGGATAACCAAAATCGATCCGGATCGTATTCAGAGTCGCAAATCATATTAATCTCTGTAGGATCGCATAAAATCGTAGCAGGATCGTGTAGGATCGTAGGATCGTAGGATCGGTAGGATCGTACGATCCTACAATTTTTTTGTAAATTTGTGAAATACGAAGCTCCATTTTGCAAGTAAATGAAAATATTTGTGGTATATTTGTAATTTATTAAAGAATTGCAACCTTTAATTGCAATTAGGAGCTTTTAGTAGGATCTTACGATTCTCCGATCCGATCCTGTGAAATTAAAATCGATCCTACGTAGAATCCCGATTTTACAAACCTTGCTACAGACACTACAAGCCATATATTTCGTCTGTTTTATCCTCAAAGATAAAAAGGCATATATTTCGCCAATAGTGTGGGGTATTAATGAGGTCAGTTTTCCACTCTGCTCCAAAAAGAGGAAGCAGAGGTAAATGATGGAAAATTGACTTGATAAGAGAGGAATCTTGTAGTACTCCTACTATTTTGTTCTTTTTCCACCTATAAGAGTGCCGTGGTTATGGCCGACCAAGACTTTACTGTAGTATGCAAAACGGTGGACCTATAAAAGTGTCATGGTCATGACTTGCGTAGTTAATTTCTTAAGGAACACTTGCATATTAAGGAAGAGAAGTTAACGTATTTAGTCGCAGAGTAGTCTATAGTTACTTAAGCAATTATTACATGTTACATGCATCTGAGCTACAGCATTAGTCAACAGTTAATTTTAGATTTTTAAGGCATGGACACATTTATCTTTATTAAAGTGTAAGGCGTATAATGAATAATTTTTGCAAGGCAATTCATGCGTTGTGGTTTGGGTTATTTATCGTAATTTCGTATTGGTTGCTTTTTTTTTTTTTTAAACTCTTAATTAACGAATTCTGTTACCTTTTAGACTAAAAGTGATTCTATTTTCCTCCTACCTGGTTTTGGAAGCACGAATTTGTCCGAAAGATTCCTAGAATTCATATGGTTTGGTTTTCACTGGAGACTTGTAATGCCAAAGTGTATAACCACATTGGTGGTTGTATCACCATGTGAATCGAACTGCTTTCTTTTTGACTGGAATAATTTTTCTTGTACAAGTCAATGAATTAATGACAAAACTGGAAGAGAAAATGAACCGCGAGAATCCAACCACTCCTCTTCTGAGATCAGTTAAAAAACAACAGAGATTAGAGCTTTGCACTTTGCAGCTGCACCTAACAGGCAAGAGCTCCTCCTCCTTTACCGGTTGTTGAAAGCAAAGCTCACTTACCCAAGATGGCTGACCCTGTTATCTCTCTTGTTATTGAGAGAATTGGTGATCTGCTGATTAAAAAATCTGTTTTCCTGAAAGATGTTCGACGACAAGTTGAAAGACTCAAAAATGATCTGGTCCGGATGCGGTGTTTCCTGAAAGATGCAGATCAAAGGCAAGATGAAGATGAGAGGATTCGCAACTGGGTTTCTGAAATTAGAGCTGTGGCTTACGATGCGGAGGATATCATTGAGATCTTTGCCAGCAAAATTGAAAGCATAAAGGATAAGGGATTGGCATATTATCCCCGGCGGATTGTGAGCCTCAACAAGATCGGTAAAGAGATTGAGTCCTTACAGATAGGGCTCAATGACATAGCTGATAGCCGCGAAAAGTATGCTATCAAAAATCTTGGAGAGGGAATGAGTTCACCCGGAAAAGAATTTCGAAGGCTTCGCCGAACCTCTCCTTTCAGCGAGGACAAGGATATAGTGGGCTTCGAAGAGATTACAAAATCGCTCGTGGCAGAACTTTTGAAAGAGGACGAAAACCGCCGTGTGGTTTCAATCGTTGGCATGGGAGGTGCTGGTAAGACAACTCTAGCCAAAAAAGTTTATAACCATGCTGATGTCAAGAAAAGATTCAACTGCCGTGCTTGGGTCTGCGTCTCTTCAAGCTACGATCACAAAGAGATGCTGAGATCAATCATAAAGCAATTGAATGCAATGGATAACAAGCTACTTGAAATGCTGGAAAGGATGGAAGAGGAAGACTTGGAACGAAGGCTCTATCAAGATCTACAAGACAAATGTTATCTTGTGGTAATTGATGATGTATGGGAGGAAGAAGCGTGGGATTGTCTTGCTAGGGCCTTTCCTGATGTTAATACATCAAGTAGACAGCTACTTACAAGTCGCAAAAGGGATGTTGCCCAACACGCAGATGCACTTAGCAAACCACATGAGCTGAAAACTTTGGGGCAGGAAGATAGCTGGCAGTTGTTCCTCAGAAAGGCCTTAGGCCATGGGGATAACGCTGGATGTCCTCCGGATTTGGAAGAAGTAGGCAGAGAGATTGAAAGGAGATGTGCTGGTCTGCCACTAGCCATCACGGTTATAGGTGGTCTGCTTCTGACAAAGAGAAGGTTGAAGAGTGAGTGGGAGAAAGTTCTCAACAGCTTCAACACAAACCTCTCAAGGAGCCAGAGTGGAGTATCAGCAATTCTGGAATTAAGTTATGCAGATCTTCCTGCCAATCTGAAATTTTGCTTTTTGTATTTGGGTTTGTTTCCCGAAGACTCCGTGATTTCTGTGCGCAAGTTGATCCATATGTGGGTTGCAGAGGGAATAATGCAGAAAAGAAGCGCAAAAAAATTGGAGGAAACTGCAGCATATGATGATGTGGAACAACTTTGTAGCAAAAATATGGTCCAGGTGGCAGAAATGACTGTTGATGAGAGGATTAAAAGCTGTAGAGTCCATGATTTATTGCGAGAGCTTGCAATAAAAAAGGCAGAGGATGAAAATTTTTTTCAGATCCACGACACCAGAGATGATAAAATATCAGCCAAATCCAGGTATCTTGCTGTTCATATTCTCCCAGGGGATAAAAATTTTTTGGGTCTTCAACCCCTCCTCTCCGGTCTCTACTTTTTTTCAATGTCCACGATTACAGGGAAAACATTAGTTTTGGCTTCAAAAGTTTAAGAAAGCTTAGGACACTGGACCTTGAGAATGTTATGATGGATTATATGCCAAAAGAAATTAGTAAAGTCAGGCTTCTGAGGTATCTCAATTTAAGAGAGACACGGATTGGAAAGCTCCCTCATTCCTTCGGTTGCTTGCGATACCTACAAACTCTTGACATACGGACCGTTAACTTAGTGATAGTTTCAAATTTCATTTGGAAGCTTGAAAGTTTACGGCATCTATATGCACGTGATATAAGGTGTAATGTGCCTCTTAAGATTGAAGGATTGAGGAATCTTCAGACTGTGTCAGGCATACACTTTGATCACATTATGCGCAATAATATGATGACTTTGACAAGTCTTCAGGAACTGGTGATGAGAGTAGATGATAGGTCAGAGATAGACAAACTCTGCTTGCACTTATCTGAGGTTGGAAGCCTAAAGACATTTCATCTTTACCGTGCTTTAGGAAGCGAGTGGCCATCTCTAGGTGGACTTTCTAAACTCCATCATGTAACAGAGCTTAAGCTATCCGGGATGCGTTTGAGAATGCTGCCTCCTGATTTCCCTCCTAATCTCTCTCGCTTGTCTTTGGAAGAAACATTCCTCATGGTTGACCCAATGCCAGTACTAGAGAAGTTGGGACAACTGTCGTTCCTCAAAATGAAAGTTGCATATGGGGGACCACAGCTAGTCATATTTAGGCATGGGTTTCACCTATTGAAATTCCTTGAGCTCAGCCGCCTATATGATTTGGATGAAATAAAGGTGGAGAAAGGTGCATTGCCACAGCTCCAGTGCCTGAGAATCAGGAGCTGCAGCAGATTACGGAAGTTGCCGGAAGAGCTGAAGCACATATCTACTCTTGATAAGCATGAGCTTGTGGACGTGCCAGAAGATTTTATCAGTAGGATTGATGCGGACACAGTATCCAATGTCCCTAACTTCAGAATATTTGACTTGCCGAAGGAAAGGTGGTGGTATTCGTAATCATGCATAGAATGCAAGCTATGTCGTATAGTGATTAATAGAATTATTTCAAGTTTTTATCAAAATATATAAATAAAATGAATGTTTCAGATTCAACATAACTTTTGTTTTCCCCAATTCAGTAAACTTGCTTTGCCACAATTTCACTCTTTGTTTTCGTCATATAATTCAAACAAGCTTTTTAAGTCCATTTTTTTTATTTGAAATCTCACACTTCAATACTACCTTTTCTAATTATCCCACTTTTAAACAAAGAATGACTCTCTGTTATTAATGATTTTTTGGATAACTAACAGTGCCTACAGCTGTACCTTATATGATTTGTATCTCTCTATCAATTTACATTGCATATAGCATATTAATACAAGTAAATAATTAAATAAACAAAACAGTTTATATCTTAGGTGGGTCTCAGAAACCCTGATATTAAACTCTTGGGATTTGGAAATGTCTAATTCAATAAAAATATCTAGAGGTATTTGGTTGATTCTAATTTTTCCCATGCTGTCCAAACTGAAAAAGAGAATAAGAAAATAAAAACCTCTATTTATGTACGGGAAGAGAAGAAAAGAATGGTTGTAACAAACAGATCAAGGAATTCATCCCATATTAGCAGCCCACATACAAGACATAACGGATCTTAGCTTAATGTTTACGATATGCTCATTTGAGTTTCAATCCGCTAATGATAGCATTAATTGTCTCAGTCATAAACTGAGTCAGCAGGCAATGCATTTACATTTTGATGAGGAATTCTTCGATCCTCAGTGTTTCAGTACACTTTTGTTCAGAAAAACTTGAGCCTTTGCTCGAATAGTGCCTTTGCTCGAATAGTGTAATTTCTCTATTAGTAGAAATAAAAACTTTTACCGTTTCGGAAAAAAAAAGAAGGAATTCATCCCATATAAAGTGTTGGTCCGTCTGAAAGTGAGGATTAATTGCTTCCTAAATACTACTCACCATACATATAAGATGTTAAAAAATAAACTTAAGCATGTGAAAATCAAATAAAAAGCTATTCATTTAAGTTGTTTGGGGTAAACATTGAAGGGAAAAACATTACTGAGGGGAAAATTTCTGAATACGGAATAATTGTAGGCTATTTATTATGAAAGGTACATGTGATGTTATTTTTTCGAATGTGTTCGTAGTAATTTCATTTTTACAAAAATCAGTGCAAATCTCATGTGTAATGGATAGTCCAAGATTGTACGCAGTTTAAAAGTTTGACACTCCCTTTTAATTCTTCGTGATTACTAGTTAGTTGATTCTATAACATGTATCGCCTTGAAGGAAATGTATATACGTCTCAAAAAAAAGCAAGCGTAATTCTGCTTATAAAGAAAACTTATATAGTTTTTTGTGAACTATTGGAGAATTAGAGTGAAAAGAACAGTTTTAAAAGAAGGGTTAATTATAGAAACTCCCTTTGGTTAAAGTTGCAGTTCACCGCCTAATGTTTATTTCTTCTCACTTTGCCTCCTATTTCAGTCCAACTAGTCAAATTAACCACTAAAATAGTAGGGTTAACAAAAGTGCCCTGCTACATAGTTATAAGAAAAGACCCCAAGGTTCTTGAGATGTTCATATTACAAGATATGATTTTTACCATAGAATAATTATTTTTTTAATCTCTTGCATAAAATAAAATGGAACACTGATATTCTTTTTCTTTTCAAAATCATCATTCATGCAATTAATTTAAGTGGGAAGACCCTGAATTTTGTGGAAAAAGATGACAAAATGTATTGTGTGTTATGTTCATTGAATTGCCTAATTAAATCTTCTTTCTACCTACAATCACGTGACTCGATAAATTGTTGAGAAAAATTGATTATAAGTATGCAAATATTGTAGTTTTAAAAAATTCTTTACACGAACAAGTCTAAATTTATACCTCATTTTATAATTAGAAAAAAGCAAAAAAATTCCAAACTAAATATGACATTTTTATCTCATATACATCACATCACAAAAAGTGCTACAATAATTATTTCAAATAATTATTTGGAATAATGCTCTACTCTATCCAAACAGATATTTCATAAATCTAGACTCTCTCGTGTTATACTAACATTATTTGAATCATTAAACCACAAATGCTTTCCTTCTTTCTTTCTTTGGTTTGCTAGTTGTTCCTGGGAAATGACTGATAATTTGCAACACACAATCAAGTTGAAGAAAGAAAAATTGTGCAAAAGTGGAGAAAATGGTATTCCTCGGCCCTTTGCTCCATGAATTTATAGCAGTAATTTTACCATAGTCAATTAAGGAAACAGGAACATTAGCTGAAATTGTACTAAACATCAGTTATAAATAATGTCTTTAAATTCAATTAAATTGCGTGGGAATTTTCTTATGAGGCGTGGCTAATTTTCTCATCTAGTCAAGGATCAACGCGAAGACGCAGTCCCAAATATCTGTGAGATCTAATTAATTTTACGTGTTCCTTAATTTGTTAATATTTGCATGTTTTCTATTTTAATTTCCATGGGATTGTTTTGTTAATTGGATATCAAGGGCCCGATGTGCAATTTGACTTATTAATCTCCTGTCAAATTAATCAATTAAATCCGTAATTGTTTAGTTGGTTAATATTAGTGACAACTAGTATTTTCACATACTAGGAGAACATGCAATCTGATTTAAATAACCCTCGTAGCGTGTTATTAATTTGGGTTAGGCTTTTCTAGTTTTTAATGCAATTAGGAAATTAATTCCTACGGTCGTACCTAGGAGTATTTCCTGGTTAGAAGTAATCAACGGTAGTACCTTGGTTATCAATAAATTAAGGAAAAGCTGGTCGTTAGAGTTTATCGGCGACTATAACTAGCCTATTAATAAAATTAAGTGAACCTTCTTTGCATCAATGATCGGATGAATGGACTGTGTCTGCGTAGTTGTATCCTTGGCTAGAATTTATTTATCATTTATCTAATTGCATTTATCTAATTGCTATTTACAATTGTATTAATTAATTATTTATTTTTGGTTAAATTATTTAATTATTTTTAGTTAAATTGTTTAATTATTTTTAGTTTATTTCTGATAAAAAATCCCCCGTGTCCTGAACTTGAAAGGAATCAAATTTTTCCCACTCCCTGTGGATTCGACCCTACTCACTACTATACACAGAAAATTCATTTTTCTCGAGTAGGTATTTATTATTGCACAGGCTCGACACCTGCCAATTTTTGGCGCCGTTGCCGGGGACTGGCGTTAATCATTTGTTTCTTTTTAAGTTCATTTTTTTTCTGGTATTTTTCTAGTTTATGCCTCGCTCTTCTCGTACAGGCGAATTAATTTTCGACCCTGAAGTAGAGAAGACCGCGCGTAGAACGAGGAAAGAAACCAGGCGGCTCAGGGAGGAGCAATACGATATTGCACCTCAGGGACTTGATCCAGAGGTTGAGCCGACAAATTTGTCTGGTGACAATTCAAGTGATTCAGACCAAGAGGAAGTCACTATGGCAAATGCACGAACACTAAGGGAGTTGGCTGCTCCAGATTTAAATCAGCAGCCCTTGTGCATTACTTTTCCGCATTTAAATGATGACACTCCCTTTGAACTAAAATCTGGTCTAATTCATCTCTTGCCATCTTTTCATGGTCTACCAGGTGAGGAGCCCTACAAGCACTTGCAAGAGTTTGACGTCGTTTGCAACAGTATGAAGCCTCCGGGAATTACTGAAGAGCAAATAAAGATGAGGGCCTTCCCCTTCTCTTTGAAGGATTCCGCAAAAGACTGGCTCTACTACCTACCGCCTGGTAGTATCACCACGTGGGACCAACTAAAGAAAAAATTCTTGGACAAGTACTTTCCTGCGTCTCGAGCTGCGAGCCTAAGGAAGGAGATATGTGGCATCAAACAACACCCAGGCGAGTCACTCTATGAGTACTGGGAGAGGTTTAAGAAACTGTGCACCAAATGCCCTCAGCATCAGATAAGTGAGCAACTGCTCATTCAATATTTCTATGAGGGGTTGCTTTTCAGGGACAGAAGCATAATCGATGCTGCAAGTGGAG